ATCTCGTTGATCCCTCATTCCTTCAATTTCATGAGTGATCTCCGCAATTCGATCGCGAGCCTAGAACATGCTGTATATACCTTTGTGCTTACCCCTACTAATTTCATCCTACACATATTCACTGAAAACCTTTGCTTTCTATAGAAATCAGATAACCTTGAGATTACCTTAGTTATATTCGAATCCGTATCAACAGCTTTTTCAGAGAGCGCTTGAAGTTGGAAAGTGAGCGTCTTCTGTCTTTGTTGGCGTTGCGCCGTAATTTCAGCTTCTCGTTGCTTTTGTGCCTAAAAAGTTCAACAAACTCCTTAGTCAAAAGAAATCACAATGGTCCGTTAAGGTATCTGCATAAGGATCGACCGATCGAGGGCAATTTGGCGTAATTCGGCTCTGTCACAGCATGGCCGCGCTAATTTCTCCAGAATTCAACTCGTTTTTTCCCTTTAAGTTGTGTTGACTTTTCAGAAGTCGGCAACAAATACGCCGAACAATGCGTACCACACTCCAGCAAATGGTATTTACTCTACCAACGCAACCGCCGCGCATCCTCGATTGGCCGACTTTATTACGCCTATGGGGGCAATCCTTACGGACATGGAGATAATCTTATCCATATGATAAGTCTTCCAATAAAAATAGGGATGTTTGATTTTAAGAATGTATTTTTTGAAAGAAGTCTTGGATTTGATCGGTATACTTATTCTGAAAATTACAAATACTACAATCAGATTTGTTCTTTCTTTGAGAAATCTAAATTTCAGGTTCAGCATATGGAAGATGTTACCTGCATTTCCTTCAATCTCATCTTTTCCGCTTCAATCAATCTTTGTCGCTCTGCCTCTTTTCTGGCCGCTTCACGCTCCGCTTGCCGTTTCTTTTCTTGTTCCAAGCGTGCTTCCTCCAGCTGTCGAAGGCGTTCTGGAAAAAAGAGCTGCGACACTGCAGTAATGTGTTAATTCAATGCAATAAAGAGTGAAAACATAGATATTGAAGCCAACTGAAATCATGTCGTTCCTGGTTATAATGAGGAAGAAAAGTTAAAAAAACAAGATAAGTCTCAGAATCAATTTTTAAAACTATCAAGATAATAAAAGGTTGATGGAAGAGTAGAAAAATCCTAGAATAAAAGAACTATTTACCAAGTTCAGCTTGCCGTTCAATTTCCCGCTGCCTCTCCTTCTCTAATCGCTCTCTTTCCTTTCTTTCAGCCTCTTCTCTTTCACGCTTTTCAATTTCAGCTCGACGGCGGTTCTCCTGAAAACAACTCAAACATCAGAACAATAGGAGAAGAATAAAGATGAATGAAAAGGGCATATGAAAAGACTTTAAAAAGCAATTAGGAAATTTCAAATCTGCGACTGACTTCTTCCATCAATATTTGCCGCCTTCGCTCTAATTCCGCCTGTCCCCGTG